CCTTTAAGGGTTCAGGGGGGTTTAAAATTCAGTGTTACATATATATTTGCTTTTTGAAACTTAAGAACACTTACACCCGGATAAGCAAGACTTGGAACCTGCAGACAACAACAAACACGTCTGTCGCAAAACCCCGGCCGTTGATGCATAGCCTCCGTAATGGGGTATGTCGCGTGTGCGGGCCGCGGCCCTGTTACAAGCAATCAATATTGGCACGCGGCCATATGTATGTCCTAGAAGTTACAGCACATGTAAAAAGAATATGATATGTTTCATGTTGTTGTAATAGTTTAAGCACAAACACGGTGGACCGATAACAGTACCACCATGTCGTCTGTGCTGTTTAGTGTGCAGTTGGCGAGATAACAATACACAAACAAGAGAGGGGGAGACGGTGGACCGAAAGCAGTACCACCGTGTTCAGGGACCGAAAACAGTACCCCGCTTTCCCGGAGACCGAAAACAGTACTCCGAGTTGAGTTAACACTGCATTCACTGTAGGCTCCGCGCATTCGATGGTGAGAATCAAAAGCGACCATACCTGACGCCAGACTTTATTTTAATATTAATGTAAAAAAGCGCGCTGTAGAGTTCAAATCATTATACCTTCCGGTCCCTATAGGGTTTTAAGCTACTAACCCTAAAGAGTCTAAATAATTCAAATCCAGATTTAAATGATTTAAGATATTTGAATTATTTACATTATTTGAGTTTGTGAAATTTTTAAATTATTTAAATGGTTTCGGCTCGGAGAAATTCTCGACCTATTGAAATTCTTTAAATTATTTAAATTCACGCGCCTCGAAACTAATTAAAATAATTTAAATCCCGAATTAAATTATTTAAATTCACGGGCCTCGAAACTAATTTAAATAATTCAAATCCCGATTTAAATTATTTAAATTCTTTTCCGAGCCCGTCAATTTAAATAATTTAAATAATCTAAATAATTCAAATAGAATGAGGATTTCTCGGAACCCAGACCATTTAGATAATTTAAATAATTTAAATAATTTAAATAATTAAATAATTTAAATAATTTAAATCCTGATTTGAATTATTTAAATTAGTTTCGAGGCCCGTGAATTTAAATAATTTAATTCTGTATTTAAATTAGTTAAATTAGTTTCCGGGCCCGCGAATTTAAATAATTTAAATCTCGAATTAAATTATTTAAATTCGCGGGCCTCAAAACTAATTTAAATAATTCAAATCGCGATTTAAATTATTTAAATTCTTTTCCGAGCCCGTGAATTTAAATAATTTAAATAATGTAAATAATTCAAATCGAATGAGGATTTCTCCGAACCCAGACCATTTAGATAATTTAAATATTTTAAATAATTTAAATATTTTAAATCCTGATTTGAATTATTTAAATTAGTTTCAAGGCCCGGGAATATAAATAATTTAATTCTGTATTTAAATTAGTTAAATTAGTTTCCGGGCCCGCGAATTTAAATAATTTAAATCTCGAATTAAATTATTTAAATTCGCGGGCCTCAAAACTAACTTAAATAATTTAATTCGGGATTTAAATTATTTAAATTAGTTTCCGGGCCCGCGAATTTAAATAATTTAAAGAATCTAAATAGATCCAGATTTTCTCCCAGCACAGACCATTTAACTAATTTAACTAATTTAAATAATTTATATAATTTAAATCGGGATTTGAATTATTTAAATTAGTTTGGAGGCCCGCGAATTTAAATAATTTAATTCTGTATTTAAATTAGTTAAATTAGTTTCCGGGCCCGCGAATTTAAATAATTTAAATCTCGAATTAAATTATTTAAATTCGCGGGCCTCAAAACTAATTTAAATAATTTAATTCGGGATTTACATTATTTAAATTAGTTTCCGGGCCCGCGAATTTAAATAATTTAAAGAATCTAAATAGATCCAGATTTTCTCCCAGCACAGACCATTTAACTAATTTAAATAATTTAAATAATTTAAATCGGGATTTGAATTATTTAAATTAGTTTGGAGGCCCGCGAATTTAAATAATTTAATTCTGTATTTAAATTAGTTAAATTAGTTTCCGGGCCCGCGAATTTAAATAATTTAAATCTCGAATTAAATTATTTAAATTCGCGGGCCTCAAAACTAATTTAAATAATTTAATTCGGGATTTACATTATTTAAATTAGTTTCCGGGCCCGCGAATTTAAATAATTTAAAGAATCTAAATAGATCCAGATTTTCTCCCAGCACAGACCATTTAACTAATTTAAATAATTTAAATATTTAAATCCTGATTTGAATTATTTAAATTAGTTTCAAGGCCCGGGAATTTAAATAATTTAATTCGGTATTTAAATTAGTTAAATTCGTTTCCGGGCCCGCGAATTTAAATAATTTAAATCTCGAATTAAATTATTTAAATTCGCGGGCCTCCAAACTAATTTAAATAATTCAAATCCCGATTTAAATTATTTAATTATTTAAATTATTTAAATTAGTTAAATGGTCTGTGCTGGGAGAAAATCTGGATCTATTTAGATTCTTTAAATTATTTAAATTCGCGGGCCCGGAAACTAATTTAAATAATTTAAATCCCGAATTAAATTATTTAAATTCGCGGGCCTCGAAACTAATTTAAATAATTCAAATCCCGATTTAAATTATTTAAATTCTTTTCCGAGCCCGTGAATTTAAATAATTTAAATAATCTTAAATAATTCAAATAGAATGAGGATTTCTCCGAACCCAGACCATTTAGATAATTTAAATAATTTAAATAATTTAAATAATTTAAATCCTGATTTAAATTATTTAAATTAGTTTCGAGGCCCGTGAATTTAAATAATTTAATTCGGTATTTAAATTAGTTAAATTAGTTTCCGGGCCCGCGAATTTAAATAATTTAAATCTCGAATTAAATTATTTAAATTCGCGGGCCTCAAAACTAATTCAAATAATTCAAATCCGGATTTAAATTATTTAATTTATTTAAATTATTTAAATTAGTTAAATGGTCTGTGCTGGGAGAAAATCTGGATCTATTTAGATTCTTTAAATTATTTAAATTCGCGGGCCCGGAAACTAATTTAAATAATTTAAATCCCGAATTAAATTATTTAAATTCGCGGGCCTCGAAACTAATTTAAATAATTTAATTCGGGATTTAAATTATTTAAATTCTTTTCCGGGCCCGCGAATTTAAATAATTTAAATAATTCAAATAGAATGAGGATTTCTCCGAACCCAGACCATTTAGATAATTTAAATAATTTAAATAATTTAAATAATTTAAATCGGGATTTGAATTATTTAAATTAGTTTGGAGGCCCGCGAATTTAAATAATTTAATTCGGTATTTAAATTAGTTAAATTCGTTTCCGGGCCCGCGAATGTAAATAATTTAAATCTCAAATTAAATTATTTAAATTCGCGGGCCTCAAAACTAATTCAAATAATTCAAATCCGGATTTAAATTATTTAAATTATTTAAATTATTTAAATTAGTTAAATGGTCTGTGCTGGGAGAAAATCTGGATCTATTTAGATTCTTTAAATTATTTAAATTCGCGGGCCCGGAAACTAATTTAAATAATTCAAATCCCGAATTAAATTATTTAAATTCGCGGGCCTCGAAACTAATTTAAATAATTTAATTCGGGATTTAAATTATTTAAATTCTTTTCCGGGCCCGCGAATTTAAATAATTTAAAAAAATCAAATAAAATGAGGATTTCTCCGAACCCAGACCATTTAGATAATTTAAATAATTTAAATAATTTAAATAATTTAAATCCTGATTTAAATTATTTAAATTAGTTTCGAGGCCCGTGAGTTTAAATAATTTAATTCGGTATTTAAATTAGTTAAATTAGTTTCCGGGCCCGCGAATTTAAATAATTTAAATCTCGAATTAAATTATTTAAATTCGCGGGCCTCAAAACTAATTCAAATAATTCAAATCCGGATTTAAATTATTTAAATTATTTAAATTATTTAAATTAGTTAAATGGTCTGTACTGGGAGAAAATCTGGATCTATTTAGATTCTTTAAATTATTTAAATTCGCGGGCCCGGAAACTAATTTAAATAATTTAAATCCCGAATTAAATTATTTAAATTAGTTTTGAGGCCCGCGAATTTAAATAATTTAATTCGGGATTTAAATTATTTAAATTCGCGGGCCCGGAAACTAATTTAACTAATTTAAATACAGAATTAAATTATTTAAATTCCCGAGCCTCAAAACTAATTTAAATAATTCAAATCATTTAATTCTTCCATACGTTCTCTATACATATAGAAAAACAGGTAGCAACATAGTACATAAAGGTCCCTCTCTCATACATATATACACACACAACTTATACAGTCAATCCCTTTAACCTAGGTAGCCCCTAAATGACCCCGAAATAACCCCTAAGGTCCCTCATAAAGATCCCTCCTTTGGTCCCTTGACCAAAGGACGCCCCGAGAAATAGCGGGAACGCTTGTCATGGCGTAGTTAGGGTTTGAGGGCTTTATGGGATTAGGGTTTTGTTTTTGGGTTCTTAGGGGTTCAGGGTTTAGGGGCGTCGGGGTTTCGTTTAGATTTTTTGGAGACTTGGGGTGCAGGGCTTCGGTTCAGACTGTCGGTTTAGAATGTTCGCTACTTGTCCTGAGCAAGTGCCCCAAGGGCTGTCAACCACAACACCTCACACTCCCAACGCCTTATACCCTAAAGCCCCAAACCCATAACACCCAGTGCGCCTTCCCCTTACTGGCGGGTTTCTGAGTAGGGAATGGGGGAAGTAGCTACCTTGTGTCACTCTATATAACCCTCTGAGGGGTTTTGCATGGTACTTACTTCCTTTGTCATAGTGAGGTAACATTTTACATTTCTAAGGGCACTTAAACACAATAAGGAACAGAAGTTTAAATCTTAATTCTACCCCAACCATGAACTAGATTCCCTCATTCCCTACCAAGGATCAGTTTGCTTAGGGCTTGCAAGCGCGCAAAGCCCACAAAAAGCACCAGTGCGACCCGCGAAGCAGGTCCTCCATCTTCCGTTGCCTCGGAGGCTTGTGGCCTGTGGCCGCCGGCTGAGATGTAGGGTTCGGAGTTTAGGGTTTCCGGGTTTCAGGGTTTCAGGGTTTGAGGATTTGAGGGTGTCCCCCCCCCCCCCCCCCCCCCCCCCCCCCCCCCCGCCCCCCCCCTCCAAAAGTAACCGAGCCGATTGCACGTGCCTAAGGCATGACCAATATTACCCTCTCAAAATCCAATCCCTATCTTTAGTTGGATGATGAACTATGCAAAATACGACGCTAAATCCTAAACCCTAAGCCCTAAGCCCTAAACCCTAAACCCTAAACCCCTACACCCCTACACCCCTACACCCCTAAACCCCTAAACCCTAGACCCTAGACCCTAAACCCTAAACCCTAAACCCTAAACCCTAAACCCCAGAACGAGGCCAAGGGGACCATCACCTGCCCCTCCGCCTTCGCGCGGGGCCTGCACGGCCCTCGCCCCAGCAGGGCTCTAGGGCTTGGATATTTTGTTGCTTCTTGGTGCTGTTCGGACTTAGGGCTTAGGGTTTAGGGTTTAGGGGTTAGGGTTTAGGGTTTAGGGTTTAGGGAAGTTTGGGGTTCAGGGGTTCATGGGCTGGGGTTTTGGGGCCTGTACGGCTTCGCAAGAGGGTGAAAAGCATGTATCCGAACAATCGCACTGCCGTAATATGAGGGGCCTTAATGATTAGAATAGGGTTTTGGGGGGCTTGTTGTAGTATGTTTTGTAAACGGACCAGAGAGGAATACCATTAGGAATCATGCCAACCCCGAAAATGATTGCTACTTTCAACATGCCGTCCGTTGTCCGGAATGGCGATCGCTTCCCGAATCCGTTTCCGAAATTTTGGGATATCCCGAATCCTGGCAGCCGAATGTCGCCCCGAGTTTCCCGAATTGGGCGCCTGAATTTCCAAAAAACCTACTAGCGTTCTCGCAATCAGGGCGCCCCAGCCGCCAATTGGCGGCCACAGGCACGAGTTGTGATTGCGCAGCTGTTTCTTGCCAAGTGGACACCGGCAGCCTCCCCAAACAACGGTGACGCTGCCGGGGCGAGAGGCGGCATCTTCCCCCCCATCGGGGAGGTTGTATTCCAGCGGGCAGGTCTTTAGTTGGGATCCCCCCGGTGGGGAGAGCCTGAGTCAGTGAGACCTGGCAGCACAGGGCGGAATACCACTCGTACCAACTACCAACGACGGACCTTGGACAAGTGGGCCGCTACTGGAACGTGCGCGCGCCTGGGCTTCGCTCTGATTTCCCTAAAAGCCTAAAAGCTCTAAACTCTAAACACCCTAGCGCCCCTAAACGCTTTAAAAACCATAAGAAACCCCAACGCTCTAAAAGAGCCTGAAAGCCCTAAGACTAAACCCTAAACCCTAAACCCTAAACCCTAAACCCTAAACCCTAAACCCTAAACCCTAAACCCTAAACCCTAAAGCTCCGCGCACAAAAAGCCCCTCCGAAAACCTAAAAGCCGTAAACGCCCTAACAGAACTAAAAACCGTAAAGCCTTACAAGGCCCTAAAAACCCACCAAGACAGTAACAACACCAAACAACAAAAGCATGAAAAGCCTGTCAAACCCCAAAGTTCTCTAAAGTTCAACACCGTAAAAACACTGAAAACCCTAAAGTCCCTAAAGCCCCCCAAGCGCCCTAGTAGGATTAAAAACCCAAAAGCACAAAAAAGGCCTCAAGAAGCTAAACGCATAACACAAAGAACCCTAAAGGCCCTAAACGCCCTAAACATCCTAAAGCCCTTAAAATCCTTAACAACCTCAACAGTCCTAAAAGCCGAAAAAGGCACTGAAGCCTTGAAGCCCAAAAGGCTTTAAGACATTTGGGGGTTTTAGGAGGTCTTCTAGGGTTTTAAGGGTTTTGGAGGTTTCTTACGGTTTTGTGGGGCTTCTCGGACTTTTTGGGTTGCTTTTGGGTTTTGAGGTTGTAGGACTTTTAGGGATTTCAGTGATTTTAGGTATTTAAGACGTTTAAGGCTTGCAAGGCTTTTCGGGCTTTCTAGGGTGTTTTAAGGGTTTTCTGGGTGATTAGGGCCTAAGAATCCCTATAGCCTCCCAATCAAAGCCCTCAACACCCCGAGCAACGGCGACTAGGGTTTAGGGTTTAGGGTTTAGGGTTTAGGGTTTAGGGTTTAGGGTTTAGGTTTTAGGGTTTAGGGTCAGACTTTGGGTTGCTGCTCATTTTCTCAGACATCGGCATGTACGGTACTTCATGTGGTCCCTTACTTGGAGGTTCATGGGTAGTTCTAAGTAAGGTTCTGACTTGGGCAACTATACTCATAGCCTTACTTAGGGCACTTATAAGCCTACTTATAAGTACCCATGAGCCGCCAAGTAATGTTAAAGATCTTGATTTGCAGGCTTTCGGCTTTGGGGGCCTTCAGGGGGGGGGGGGGGGGGGGTGCAATAGGTTCTTCATGGTCTTCCCCTCAAAGGGGGGTTTAGGGCTCAGCCCCAAATCTTCCCTAATTTTTTCAGGTTTTAGGGTTTAGGGCTTAGGGTTTAGGGTTAGGGGTGAGCCCTGAACCCCTAAACCCTAAACCCTAAACCCTAAACCCTAAAGTTTAAACCCTAAACCCTAAACCCTACACCCTAAACCCTAAACCCTAAACCCGCCAAAGCCCCACGCCCAGGTGATGTCTACTACCTCCCCCAGCGGCCGGTGAACATCCTGGGCACGCTCTCGGCGCGGCGCTGAGGGGTTGGGGATGCCGGGGGCGGACCTGCAGTTTAGGGTTTAGGGTTCAGGGTTTAGGGTCGAGGCTTTGGAGTTGTTTTTTTGGTTTCTGTTTTCTTTTCTTATAACTTTTTTTGTTTCAACATGTGGTTTTAGGTTTTGGGCTTAGGCTGTTGTTGCAGAGTCTTTAGGGTAGGGTCTAGTCATGAGGGGTCTAGGGTATGAAGGTTTCGAAGCGAGGGCAGGGTGCATAGAGAGCTTGGGACCCTAAATGCCCGGGTAAGTACTCAGGAGGAGAGTTTGGAGTTTAGGATCTAGCGCTTAGGGCCGCGTGTTTAGGGCTTAGAGTGGCCATTCTGTTCACGGGCACTGGTATGCAAAATTACTAGAAGCATGGCAACTGATTTCTGTTCCCTAAACCCTAAACCCTAAACCCTAAACCCTAAACCCTAAACCCTAAACCCTAAACCCTAAACCCTAAACCCTAAACCCTAAACCCGAAACCATACTCCGAGGCACATCCAACCTTACGTATTTTTCGGCATTATGTGGGGTATGGTCGCAGCCAGGACTGCCACGAACCCAATTCAACGATAGCTATCCCCTAAGGCCCTTTATCAATCCCAAACTTAGGGTTTAGGGTTTAGGGTTTAGGGTTTAGGGTCTCTAACACCCCCAAAGCCCTGAACCCCTACAACCTTTAAAAATCCTAAGCCCCTAAGCGACCTTAAATTAAGCGCAAGAAAAACCTTGAAAGCCTCAACACGAAAGACCTCAAACCCTAAAAACCCAAACGCCCTAAGGCCCCTTAACACTTCAAACCCCACCTAGAACAAACCTACAAACCCTACTAACTAGTAACACCCCACAAGCCCGAGACAAAACCCTAACCTAGATCCCCAAGCCCTAATCCCCAAACCCAAAGCCCTAGAGACCCTAGACCCTAAACCCTAAACCCTAAACCCCAAACCCCAAACCCTAAACCCTAACCCTAAACCCTAAACCCTAAACCCTAAACCCTAAACCCTACACCCTAAATGCCAAGCTAAGGACCAACTGACGTACCCCACGCGGGTTTCCGGGGGCCTCCCTGTAGAGGAGCTGAGGCTGGCTTCCCCTCCAGTAGGGTTTAGGGTTTAGGGTTTAGGGTTTGGGGTTTAGGGTTTAGGGTTTAGGGTTTAGGGTTTAGGATTCATATGGGTTTAGGATTTAAAGTTCCTTTTTGCTGCGGGTTGGGGTTTCAGGTGTTAGGGTGCGTCTTGTGAGGGGTTTAGGGGGTTGTGGGGCTTCCTTTTTTGGTCGAGGGTTTGGGGGATAACGGTGGAGGAGTTCCTCTCTAAACATTGTTGGGCCCTAAGCCCTAATTACACCCTAAACCCTAAACTCTAAACCCTAAGCCCAAAGCCGTGCAGTTTGGGTCTAACTTACACAATGATTTCACACACTTGCAGCTTAAGAGTCTCGGTTTCGTGGGTTGCAGGTTTGTGAACCCCAAACCCCTAAAGCCCCCTTTTCCTTAAACCCTTGAAAACCCCAAACCCTGAACCCGAACCCTAACTTTGTGGTGCTTTACTGTAATTTAGATCTTTAGCCTTATTGGGCTTATTGGGTTTCTTAATAAGGCAGCTAAAAATTTAATTTATAGCTACCCTCCTAAGTGCAGCCAAGCTAAACTCTAGGATAATTTCATACTTTGCTCTGGGCCGGGGCTGTGGGCCGACTCGCTGTTGGCGGGCCTGGCTTGTTTAGGCTGCAGCGTCATGCGACCCTCTAAGCCCTAAACCCTAAACCCTAAACCCTAAACCCTAAACCCTAAAACCCTAAAACCCTAAACCCTAACCCTAAACCCTAAACCCTGAACCCTGAACCCTGAACCCTGAACCCTGAACCCTGAACCCTAAGTTAAGAATCCAGAACAAGACAACACCTGACCTCCATCTCCTCTTAAAGCCTGCAGGCCCTAGAGTACGATGCCCTGCTTGAAGGTTTATGGCAAAGTCAGAGGCAGGGTTGCAAGTTCCCGAAGGAAGGTTAGAACCAGTTGCTGCCAAAATCCCTATACCCTACGCCCTAAGCTCTAAACTGCAAACCCTAAACCCTAAGCCCCAAACCAAATGCCCAAACCCCTACCTGTGATTCCCAATGCCTACAAATTAGAAGGTCGCAACCCCTAATTGTAGGCCATACTCTCCGAAACAGCAGGTGAATAGCAAACAAGCTGGGTCAGGTTTAGGGAGTTTAGATTTGAGGGAGTCTAGGGTTTAGGGGCTTAGGGTTTACGATGGCAAACACCAAACACCGAACGCTCCGCCGCAGCCATCTGGGTAGGCTATACACGCACAGAGGCGGGTTCTGAACGGAACCTTTTTCCGCGACCATGGCGGCGCAGTACGTCGTGAAGCGCGATGGGTCGCATCAGGAGGCCTCCGTGCGCAGGGTTTAGGGTTTAGTTAGGGTTTAGGGTTGAGGGTTGAGGGTTTAGGGTTTAGGGTTGAGGGTTGAGGGTGTAGGGTGTAGGGTGTAGGGTTGAAGGTTTAGGGTTTAGGGTTTAAGTAGGGTGTTGGGGTCCCCCCAACCCCTAATACTGAAACCCCTTAGGCCCTAAACCTTAAGCCCCCTTAATTCCTAAACCCCAAGCCCCAGTAAATCCTAAACCCCGCTAAGTCCCTAACCCTGAGAGCAAAAATCCTAAACTCTAAATCTTAAACCCTTAAGCCCCAAGTCCATAAGCCCCCCCTAAACCCTAAACCCTAAAACCTAAAACCTGAAACCTGAACCCCTAAACCTCTAACCCCTAATCCTCTAAACCCCTAATCCTCTAAACCCCTAAACCCCTAAACCCCTCAACCCCTCAACCCCTCAACCCCTCAACCCCTCAACCCCTCAACCCCTCAACCCCTCAACCCCTCAACCCCTCAACCCCTCAACCCCTAATCCTCTAAACCCCTAAACCCCTCAACCCCTCAACCCCTCAACCCCTCAACCCCTCAACCCCTCAACCCCTCAACCCCTCAACCCCTAAACCCCTAAACCCCTAAACCCCTAAACCCTAAGCCCTAAAGCCCTTGAGACCAAAAAAGCAACTTGGGAGTGCCCGCGAGCTGCAGGTGAAGTTCGACAACATCACGAAGCGAATTCAGGCGCTGTTGTGGGCTTTTGGGGGGCCGGGTTCTCTGGGATTCATTGAACTTGGCACCCCCCCATGCCTTGAAGGGTTTCGAAGTCTTTGGAGGGGCTTGGGAACCCCCACCCTTGACCACCAAACCCCCCAACCCCCCCCTCGCAGACGCGATTTTTAGGTGCGGGAGTGAGAGGTGGGGTTAAGGATGGTTCTTGGTCCTCATTTTGAGGTGAGGGGGTCGTGAAGGGTGGGGGTCCTGAGTTCTAAACCGTAGACCCTGAGCCCTAAACCCTAAACCCTAGGATGAACTCCTCAAACCCGAAGCCCGAAAACGCCTAAAACCCTGAAGGCGCCCGAACCTTAAGCCCTAATCCATGGCCCTCCCCAGGCTACCCCAACACTCGAACACTAATCCCCTAAACTCTAAAACCCCTAAACTCTAAACACGAAGCCCTTAAACCCAAAAAACTGCCCTAAAACCCAAAACTTGCCCTAAGCCTCCTGAAGCCCTAAAAGCCCTAAAACCTGAAGCCTAGGCCCTAGCCCCTAGACCCTAGACCCTACTCCCTGAACCCTAAACCCTAAACCCGAAACCCTAAACCCTAAACCTTAAACCCTAAGCCCTAAGCCCTAATCCCTAAACCCTAAACCCTGGACCCTAAACCCTAAACCCTAAACCCTAAGCCCTAAACCCTAAACCCTGAACCCTAAACCCTATTCCCTGAGCCCTAAACCCTGAACCCTAAACCCTAAATCCTAAATCCTAAACCCTAAATCCTAAACCCTAAACCCTAAACCCTAAACCCTAAACCGAACCTAGAGCCCGAAGCCTCCCAGGCTTTGTGCGAGGGCTTGGACTCCGACTTCATCGATCCGGTGAGGATCACGATGAAGGCTGGTGGGGGGGGGGGGGGGGGTTTGGGGTTTGGGGTTTAGGGGGGGGGGGGGAGGGTTTGGGGTTTGGGGTTTAGGGTTTGGGGTTTAGGGTTTAGGGTTTAGGGGTTAGGGGTTAGGGCTTAGGGCTTGGGGTTTAAGGAGTAGGGATTAGGGTTTAGGGTTTAGGTTTGCGGGTAAGGAAGGTGAGGGGTGGCCTGCTTCTGATGGAGGGACTAGGAATTAGGGACTTAGGGTGCAGGGTTGCAGGGTTGCAGGGTTTCAGGGTTTCAGGGTTTCAGGGTTTCAGGGTTTCAGGGTTTCAGGGTTTCAGGGTTTTAGGGTGTAGGGTTTGGGGGTTTAGGGTTTAGGGATTCAAGGTTGAGCGGTTTAGGGTTTAGGGATTTAGGGTTCAGGGTTTGGTTTATGGTTCAGGGTTTGGGGTTTAGGGTTTAGGGGTTTAGGGGTTTTGGGGTTTCGGGCTTACGGCTTAGCATCTTAGTTCAGGGGTAGTTACAAGCCGTGCTACAAGTAGTGTTATAAGTACCCGTGGGGTTATCGTTGCACCGACTTACAACCGCATCTCTAATTGCCCATGAGCCTTCAAGCAGGGTTTGGGGTTTAGGTTCCCCATCGAGGGGGGGGGGGGGGGGGGACCAGCATCAGGGAATCGAAGGGGTGACAATGGGGCATAGGGGTTATGGTTTGGTTTAGGGTTAGGGTTTAGGGTTTAGGGTTTAGGGTTTAGGGTTTAGGGTTTAGGGTTTAGGGTTTAGGGTTTAGGGTTCAGGGTTTAGGGTTCAGGGTTTAGGGTTTAGGGTTTAGGGTTAGGGTTTAGGGTTTAGGGTTTAGGGTTTAGGGTTTAAGTTAGGGTTTAGGCCTGAGGCTAATTCGGTATGAAGGAGTTGCACTTGCCCTAGTCATGACCCAAAGGTACCCATGAACCTTCGCGACCTAGCACTTCACCCTCAAACTCCAAACCCTAAATCCTAAACCCTAAGCCCGAATCCTAACCGTAAACCGACGGCAGCTCCACGAAAGGTCCTAGATGGTTTCCACAGCGGGATCACCACCGCCCAGATCGACGAGCTGGCAGCAGACTCGCCCTCGGCTTGGGGGATATCGGGGTTCTGGGTTTAGGGTTTAGGGTTTAGGGTTTAGGACGTAGCGTCTTGGTCGAGACTTTCGTGGTCAGGGTTTCGGGTCAGGGTTTTCGCAGTGCCCTACAGCCTACATGGGGTCTACTCAGAGAGGCCAATACACGTACATTGAGGGACAAACCGAAGCCCTAAACCCTAAACCCTAAACCCTAAACCCTAAACCCTAAACCCTAAACCCTAAACCCTAAACCCTAAACCCTAAACCCTAAACCCTAAACCCCAAACCCTAAACCCTAAACCCTAAACCCTAAACCCTAAACCCTAAACCCTAAGCCCTCCTTCGACCTCTAGGGGCTCCCGGTAGGCTAGCGACCACACCTCCAAGCCCCTCAACTCCCAGCCCTGAAGCCTCCAGACACCAGGTTTAGGGTTTAGGGTTTAGGGTTTAGGGTTTAGGGTTTAGGGTTTAGGGTTTGGGGTTCAAGGCTTGGAACTAAGCCCTCTTGCCCTGTGGGTGTTAGGGTTTCGGGTGCCCCGCATCCCTGAAGCCCTTAAAGGCCCCTCGAAAAAGCGGGGCCTGCGTTGCCCTAAACCCTCAACCCTCCAAAGCCCCCCCCCAAGCCACAAGACATGTTCCTACAAATAAACCTACACCCCAAACCCAGAACCTTAGACCCCAATCGGAAATCCAAAGCCTTACAGCCTCAAGCCCAGAACCCCCCCCCCCCCCCCCCCTTCCAACAACGAGGAGACGTGTGCCTACATGTCCCAGAAGCATCCGGACTTCTCGATCCTGGCTGCGCGGATTGCGGCCGGGTGCCCGGGGGCTTTTAGGGTGTTAGGGTTCGTAGGTTGAGGATTTAAAAGTTTAGGGTTCAGGGTTTAGGGTTTTGGGCTTAGAAGCAGGGGAACTTAACTATGCTAGAGGCAGGGTTGGGGCGAGGGAGGGAGAGAGACAGGCCATCAGGGCTCAAGCGCTTGAGAAGGGACGAGACCCTAAACCCTAAACCCT